TTTCATGTAAAATTTATTATCATTATAATCAAGCCTGGGCTAAATACCGTGAATTCTTTCCAACGTATTTAACAAAAATGAAAATAAGCATTAATGGAATAATTAAAATTAAAAAGGAAGACACTGCCATGAGTGTTACTGTTAGTGTTACTGCTGTGTATTTGTTTTTGAGAGTTAACTCCCCAAAATAAATGTGTTTCCGACCATTTTTGATTTTCAATGATTCAGCAAAAAACTGAATAAAATATTATTTCGCTTAGAGAAATTTCATTCTCTAAAGCTTCAAAGTAGATACATCTATCGATTCGCGATGCCTGAGGTTAAAAAAAAATGAAAAATCATTCATGAAGCTTTATTTTATTTTTAATTTCAAACTAATAGATTAATATTTCAAATGAGCAAACGAAACGCTTTTCTCTTTTTCAAAGCAAATTTAATTTGACTAGGAGTTTTCGTTTTGAAATTTCTGATTTTTTTTCTTTCTTTTATAGCGCCATTTTTAGGCATTTGTCATCAGAATGAAATTCTCTTTATTAAAAAAAAATCTTCTAAAAATAAAATATGCATTTCTGACACTTTAGTTGGGGAACATTAACTGATTTCAAGTTTAATTAATCTGATTTAGAACAAATTGCTCATTTTACGTTCAAAAAGTCGCAGAAATACATGTTTATTTAAGATGTTGACAGCTTGATGGAAGATGAATATTTATTTATTAATGTTATACTATGAGGCTTTATTTGTAAAAATAACTGAAGAATATAACATGAGCGCCTTTTATATATAATTTTTAAGTACTCACTAATCTTATAACATCTAAGAAAATAGTCTCCGTAACTTAATGTTTTACTGAATTTAAAATTCTTTAAATTTAGCTAACACTTTTGTTTTCTGATAATATTGTGTATGAAAACCGCATCTACAAAAATTGGCGCCTTTATACACATACAAAAAAAGAGAACAAAATTCTTAACATTAAATTAAGCTTTTCGATTAGTAAATATAGTTTTTACTTAATAACAATCCCTAATTTTTACACTACTGAAACTGAATTTTAAAACATGTAAAAACTTTACAAATTATTCTCATTAAAAATTTGAAAAATGTAAACAAATCTTGTAAAAATTCATCAATCATCGAAAAATGTTTTTTCTTCGGATAGTAGTGTTGTAGTGATTTCGTAAAAAATAATAAAAGAAATCTAATTCCCATGATTCCATAGAACAAAAGAAATCGTAATTCGCAAGTAAGACTAAAGTCAAAATATCTAAAATTAAGTAAAATATTAGATTTCTTCAAATATTTTACTTTAATTTTTAAGATTACTGGATAGATAAAAAAGCTGACACATGCACGCACACACACACATTAAAATAATAAGAAAGAACAGTAAGATTTATAATCAGATGTTAGCAGTTTTTTTTTATTTGAGAAGAAAAAGAAAACAGTGCTCGATACAAAACAGCAGAGCAAAATATTATAATTATTTTCTTTTTAAAAATATGATTCCATTGCGACACAGAAAATTTCCATGTTTCAAAACTGAAACTAAATTTATATATCTAATTATTAACAAACTTAAAAATCCAGTTTAACTTTTAATAATTAAATTTATAAATGTATTTTCAGTGTTGAAACATGGAAATTTTCTGTATTGTGATGGAATCATATTTTTAAAAAGAAAATAATTATAAAAATGAGAGAGAGAGAGAGAGAGAGAGAGAGAGAGAGAGAGAGAGAGAAGGCATTGACGTTGTTTTCGCGTAATTTTTAAAGTTATGTACCCTTTACTTAAATTTGCCGAATTATCTCTAAACTTACTGAATTTTTTAGAAAATTATTTAGAACTTTTTAGTGATATTTTAAAATTAATCCCGTTGCTATTCGTTCAAGGAGTTTAATTTATTAAATAAAAACATGTTTGAACAAGTGCCTGAGAAGAAACATCATACATTTTATTTTTGAATAACTTTTGTTTCGTCGATGGCAAGAAATGTACAGATTTTAAAATAAACGCAAGGAACCAAATCTTGTTTAACACCGCATAATTTATTTTTTTTTTTTTTTACATTATCAAGCGAAATATTTTCTCAAAAGTAATTTTAGTTTATATTCTTTTTTTTATTTATTTTGTCATTTCTCAATTGTTTTTTTGTGTTCTTCATTTCAACTTGATTATTATTTTAAGTAAGTAGCCAGGTAGAGATAAAAATCCTACAAAGAAATCCGCTCCTTTTGCCTTTCTCGTTGTATTTTCTGGTCTGAAAGGTAAGTTGAAGAATTTACAAATAATTTTGATAAGAAGAAAGAAATCGTTATGTACTGACTTGCGCTTTTACCTCATGATTTTTTTTATTTTGTTTTGTTAAAAAAGAAAAGAAATAAAAACGAGTCAGCAAAAGAAAAAATTAAAAATGCAAGAAAAATTGGTTTCCTCAGCTCAGATTTTAATTAATAATAAAAATAAAGTAAAGTAACTCCAAAAATTCGGTGAAAAAGATACATGATGGAAAAAATTAACAAAATAAAATAATAATAACAATATTTTATCGAGAAAATCTCTGCATCATTATTAAGAGGAAGGATCCGACTATATTTATCATTTGTTCTGTAGTAAAAAAATTATTTTTTATCCTTTTTAGAACCCTGGAAATATACTGACTTGCCTCATCATTTCTTATTTTGTTTCGTGAAAAAGAAGAGAAAGAAAAACGCGGTTTAGCGTTAGCAAAAAAATAAATAAAAAAAAATAAAATTGAGGTTTATTTCTTCAGGTCAAATATTTTTTTTTTAAATAAACAAAGTACCTCCAAAAATTCGTTGAAAAAAATGATAAAACATAATAAAAACAATATTCTATCGAAAACGTCTGTCTTTTTATTTACGTTTTAAGAGGAGGGGTCCAAGGATTTCTGTAAAAATTATCTTTAGTTTATATCCTTTTGTTTTTCTTTTTAGAACGTTGGGAAGTTTGGTTAAGTACCATGAATTTACATGTGAAATTTCACCGTCTTTTTCTGATGAAAAACATTGATTTGCAAAATTCAGATAATTGTGAAATTTTAATGAAAAAACTATTTTAACTGAAATTATTTTTTGAAACAATGTTTTCATTTAGTAGTCTGTTGTCCTCACGTCTGTTGCTATATTCACAACGTTTCCTCAATGACACATGGCCCAGTGGATAAAAGTATTGATTTAATCCAATGGCTGTTATGGTATTTGTTTGTAGAAATAACAGTAAAGATTAAAGAACAAGAGAGAACGACAAGACATGTTAAGCTTACAAGGGAGGAAAACGCTCTGTCCTGAAAACAAAGCGACCTCTTTTATTCAAGGAAGTAACTGGCTATCCAGGGGAGGTAACTCATGTCATGACATCCTCCTTTCATTATAAGAATTGTTCACTGAAATAAAAACTTTATATGAACCGTTTCTATATGTTGTATTTTTGCCAGATCTAGTGATTGTTTCTGTTGGTGTGATGCCACTAGGCTGCATTTTATGTGCAGGTCTGAGTGTTGCTTTAGATGGAGTGCAGATGTTGGAGGGTGTGTTGGGTGTACCTGCAGGAGGTGTGTTTGGAATATTTAGGGGTGGAGGCTCAGAAGTGAGGCAGGGACGTAATATGGGGAGACGTCAGTGCCTTGTTGCTAACATCTTCCTTGAGATGCCTACGGTTTCTGCGAAGAACCTGTCCTGTTGGGATTTCAATGATGTATGATCGTGGTTCAGTACAGACTTTTCTGACCCCAGCTGGAGTCCACTTCCTCGTATCCTGTTCTTGTACTCGCACCAGTTGTCCTGTGCTAAGTTTGGAGAGATCCTTTGCATGTTGATCATGTTGTTTTCCTTGCAACCACTGTCTATCGAGTAGGCGATCCTGAGTTTCCTCTTTCCGAGCATTATTGTTGGTGCATTTTGTGTGGAGATTACTGACCAGCTTGTCACTGATAAGCCTTTCCGGGACTCCTTGTTCAGCAAAGATTTGCTTAGTAAGATCAATGAATTCCTTGCTGGAGAATTCCCTTAGTTTGCGGATGAAGGGGTATTTGGAGTAGTAATCCACAATGAGGAGGTAATTATGCCTGTTAAGGTTGAAAATATCAATAGCCACGATTTGCCATGGTCGTACTGGGATCTAGTGTGGCATTAGGGACTCTGCAGTTTGGGACTTCTGGAGTTCTTGACATATGGCGCATTGTTGTACTATCTTGTCGATGTCGCTATTTATGCCACTCCAGAAAACACGTTTTTCGCCCTGAGCTTGCATTTTTCGCTTTCTTGGTGACCATAATGTATTTTTTCCAGTGTTTCAGTCTGCAATGATTTAGGGATCAGTATCCTGTCACTTTGAGCAAAATGACATTCTCAATAGAGAGCTCATCTCGAAAAGACCCGTATGGATGTAGGTCCTTATGTGGTTCTCTGCTAGATTCTGGCCAGCCTTGAAGAATACGTGCCCTTAATTCACACAATATTGGGTCGGCATTAGTTGCTTGACGGATCTGAGTTAATTTTTTAGATGAGAATTGCACAAAATCTACTTTGATGTTTCAGTCAATGACTTCTTTGTTCTTTTTGTTAGGAAGTCTGGATAGTCCATCTGCCAGTAGCATCTCTTTGCCCGGTCGATATTTGATGACCATGTCATATTCTTGGGAGTCTTAATAGCATTCGTTGAAGTCGGGGGTGGGGTGCTGCTGTTAGGTTCTTGAGGCAAATCATTTCCAAGGGTTTGTTGTCACTTTCAACTTCGAACGAACATCCGTAAATATATATGCGAAATCGTTCGCAGCCGAATACAACAGCTAAGAGCTCCCGCTTGATATTGGCATAGCGCTTCTCTGTTTCGGTCAGGGATTTTGAAGCGAAAGCTATGGGTTTGCCATCTTGGATTAGTGCTGCTCCCAAGCCTCTAGATGATGCATCGACTTGTATTATGGGCTTTTTAGAAGGGTCATAATAGTGTAGTAGCATTTCTTTGCATATCAAGTCCTTTATTTCTTGCAGTGACTTCTGGTAGCTATTGCTCCAAACATAGTATCTTTTCTCAAGAGTTCCCTGAGGCTTGCCGTGAGGTCTGAAAGCCTAGGAATGAATGGCGCCATGTAGGTAATAATTCCTAGTACCTTCTGCAGCTCGGTAATATTAATTGGACTGGGGAGTGATTTTATTTCCTCCACTTTCTGGGGATCTGGGTGTATCCCATTCCTGTCGAAGATAGCACCGAAGAATTTAACTTGTTCCTGGTCGATTGCACATGTGCTACTGTTAAATGTGAGGCCAGCAGTTCGTGCTGTCTCCATCAAATTTCGTAAGTTGAGATCGTGTTCCTCTTTGGTTTTTCCGTGGATGATAACGTCATCGATCGACGCTAAAGCTCCAGTGCACTTTTCTATGATCATGTCCATCCTTTGTTGGAAAATATTCTGAGACATAACAAGGTCAAAGGGCATTCTTCGAAAACAGTACCTTCCAAAGGGAGAATTAAATGTAGTTAGCAATTGTGACTCCCTGTCAAGCTTGACAGACCAGTAGCCATTTTTTTTTTTTGCATCCAGCTTGGAGAAGAATTTGGCGCCGGACAGCTTGTGTAAGAGCTCTTCCATGGTTGGAGTTTTGTGGTGGCAACGCATGATGACCTTATTTAGATCTTTGGGATCTAAACATAGGCGGAGTTTGCCGTTGCTCTTGCGCACATACACAATGCTGTTAACCCAATCTGTTGGTTCATCGACTTTGCGGATTATTCCTTGGGAAATCATTCCATCTAGGTCTGCCTTTATTTTGTCTCTCACGTGGATGGGACATTTTCTGGGTACATGAACTATCGGATGATTATTTGGTCGAAGTACGATGTGGTATTCCCCTGCAAATGTGGTACGATGTGGTATTCCCCTTCTGATTGAAGCATATCCGGATCAAATTGATCCGGATATGCTTCAATCAGATCTTTCGTGGAGTTGATTGGGTGTATTGACTGATGGAGTAACTGGGGTACCTGTTGCATAATTGACTGGAGAACACTTTGTTCTCTGAATGGAACAGTGTAGGGAAACCAGTTTTAAGCCCTGAAGGGAGGGTAAACCTAGTATGGTAGGACACTTGAAGGTCATTACGTAGAATTTTACATACCTCCATTCACACTTGTATGCACATTGAATCTGTATGGATCCAGGCTGCGGGATACTAGATCCGTTGTACGCTGTAAGTACTGTAGCATCTTTCTGTGTTGTGTCAAGACGTGGTTGTCCATTCCGGTCTACATATTCTGGAAACATTCGCTGGAATGTGCGCAAGGGGACTGTGTTTACCTCCACGCCTGTGCCCACCTTGATTTTTAATTCGTGTACACCTTTCCTATTTGGTAATTGTTATGGAGTGGTTTCACAGTGGAGGCTTGTATTTGTACTAAGGCGGTCCTAAAATAGGTTCGACGTACAAAACGTTAGGAACTTCATATAATAGGTAAGACGCAGAGAAAGTCTAGTTGTGGTCGCTGATACTTTAGTATCCGACTAACGGTCGTCCGGCATCGACTGACTGACCGACCCACTGAGCGACTCCTACTTATTATAGGTGGGAGAGTCTATTAACTATAGAATAGGTGTGTTCCACTATAACAGTAATATTATGTCCAATGTGGTGAATGCCTCTGTCCGAGAGTATTTTTTACCATGGTCTTTCACCGAATGAAAAGAGATCTTCTCGAAGTCATCCACTACCTGGTCCTGAACGTTAATAGAGTTCTGACGATTTTTATATGCGTTCTGTGCCGGTGTGAATTTTTTTGCGTTTGGTAGACCTGTTTGTCTGTGGCTGCCTGTCAGTTTTTTTCTTGGCTTTTTTGTTGTGGCACATCCTAGCCCAGTGGTTCTTCCGTCCACATGCTGAGCAAGTGCTGCCTCGAGCAGGGCAATTCCCGTCCACATCTGCCACAGTTGTCTGTGACCTCAGGTTCGTGCTTCATTGCACTTAATTTGACAGTCGCATTTCCCTTGTAGCTCGCCCATTTGCCTCATGTAGTTAATTGAAGCCTCGTAACTCCTACACATGTTGAGTACTTCTGGCATGGACATTGCCTCGTTTTTGCTGAGTAGTTGCTTTTGTTAATCAGGGAATTTTGTTTCGGCAATAATCTGGTCGATTATCCGTTCTTCCATCTCACGCTCGTCTCTGAACTTGCATTTTTGTGCCTGAAGCCTACATCTCGCTAGAAAATCGTCAATGTACTCTGTTTCTTTTTGCGAATAATTTTGTAAGCAGAAGCGTGCAATCCGAAAGTTAATTTTTGGCTCTATTTGCTCTAGAAATTTCCCCCAAATTGCCCCAAGATTGCGTCTGTCGGCTTCGTTTCCGAACGACCACGAGTTGTAGCGTCTTAAACCTTCTTTTCCCGATAACAGAAGAATGTGGTCAACTTGTTTATTCTCTGGAATGCCTTTCACGGAGAAGAATAACTCACATTGTTGCTTGAAAAATTTCAGGGATTCTATCAAATTTGATGTTTCCCAGCACATAAGTGGCTCACTTGTATGGTTAGACATTATTATTATTATTACTTTGAACACAACAAGAACTCGAAAAGAAAAAATGAGAAAACTTACAGTCACGGTTACAAAATTCCAATATGGCGTCTTTTTTTTTTAATATAAACACACGTGGCTGCTTCTTGTTTCGCAAAAGCCGGTAAGAATAAAATATTGCCAGACTTTACAACTGCTATCCTGTTTTCTGTTTACATTCACTGTAACATTCCATGTTCGTTTTTTTTTTTTTTTTTTTTTTTTTTACCGCTGCCACCATGTTATGGTATTTGTTAGTAGAAATAACAGTAAAGAACAAGAGAGAACGACAAGACATGTTAAGGCTTACAAGGGAGGAAAACGCTCTGTCCTGAAAACAAAGCGACCTCTTTTATTCAAGGAAGTAACTGGCTATCCAGGGGAGGTAACTCATGTCATGACAATGACTTGACCCAAAGAGTTGTGAGTTCAATATCTGGCGACTCTCGAGAGTCAAATTAAAGGGAGATAACTGATACTGAGAATTCCGGAAGAGGCATGGTATGTGGAACTAGAACGTTCCATCCCTTAGGTTGTAGGGTTCAGTTCAAAATTCCAATCCCCTGAAGTAGGCTGGAGCATACAATGGCCGAAACGTTGTGAATATGACAACAAAGACGAGGACAACAGTCCAAACAAAGTAAATAGTGTAAATAATTACAATACCTCATCTCAGAAATATAGACAGATGTTTGTGTATGTGTTTTTTCCTTTTTGTAGAAAATATTTTTATTACATCTGTTTACCCACCACTCATTTAATTTTATAAAACTTTATGAAACTACCTTTGTTATTGCTTAATGCTTATATTTAGATACGGGAACAAGTCTTCGGAGAATTTTAATTACCTTAACAAAGAAAAAAGTAATGATACCAAATGTTTTAAAATACATTATATTAGTTTTAATTCAAAGCTAATAGATTATATTTAATATTTCCAATGAGCAAAATACTTTGCTGTATTTCAGACTGAATTTAAGTAGACAGGGAATTTTTTTTTTATTTTTGAAAATTGCTAAAACCAGCAATAGTGACAAATATATCAACACATGATTCTCTTTATTAAATATTATTTTAAAATATACTTTTCTGAAATTTTATTTGTGGAAGACTGATTTAAAGTTTAATTAATCTGAATAAAATAAACATTACTTTTACTTTAAAATATTGAAGAAAAACATTTTTTTAACATGAAAGTATGTGTTCTTATGAGGTGTTCACATGTATCAATAACTGGATGTTGGTGAGATTTATGTAAGGAGGAAATTTCAAAAGATCCTATGTGCTTTGACTAATGAAGTTGCTTGTTGAAGAAATGTTAGAAAATTATCAATAAATTTTAAACTTGCAATATGTGACATTATTTAGCTATGGTAATTGGCTAACTAATTAAGCATAGAAATTTAAAAAATGAGAAATACTTAAGGCGAGAAAGAACTATAATGAAAGACAGACTGAGCAACATATTTTTTAACACAAAGAAAAATGAATGGGAAAACATTTTATTTCATTTACAAGGAAAGATACTTTTTCGCAGAAGACAGAAAATTCCTAAGAGAAAACCAGATTTCGGTTTCTGTCAGAATTAATTAATGTCTTGATCAGATCGTGACGTGACAAGAAAAACAGAATTCTAAAAGATAAACAAAACCCAGGCCATGCATGCAACCGTGGGGGAATTTCAGTGAGACCACCCTAAAAGAATAGCCACTAATTATCTTTCAGACATATCATTTAGTTTTGGTTCTTGCGTCCAGCGAGGAGACCCATCTGTTGTATGTCCAGATCTTGACATGAGAAAAGAAAGTCGAGAAGGGGATCGTTGTTATTGTCAGACATGGTGACTCGAAAATGATCATCTGGTGACATGAAAAAAATAAAGAATTTGTTTATCAAGTGAAAACTACCACCCAGTTTGAAGGTTGACTAGCAGTAAGTTGGTGGAAATTCTGCTAAGCGGATTTTGGGTGGCTCAGGATAAGATAAGAATTTAATTATGGCCACGTGGGATTCATAAGAATTCTGGCCAATAGAAAAGAAAGAAGGAAAAGAAAAGAGAAATTTTTTTTGGATGATAATTTTAAGAAGGCCAAGTCTAGCCACACCCACACTGCCTAGCGATCATTGGCTGAGTGGTGGCACGAGTGATAGGCAAAGGTGAACGTATGAGAAAGGCGGGGAAGCTGTTGACACCCACTAAGGGGATTTGTATGAGATACCAATATGAGAAAGGAAGAGTCTAGGAGGATAATTCTCCTCCGACCTCTCCTCATGGACGAGGGAGAAAAATCCTGAAAGGGGAAAGTGGTTAGCTTCAAAAATTGGAAGTAATAAATTTTCCTATCCTGGGGACAAAGAAAATTTTTGGTTGGGAATTAAGAATTGTCAAAGAACCCAAGCCACGACAGGTCCCAACCCGGTTTTGGTCGGTGTCCATATAAACAAACGTCCTGGGGCAGTAGAGTTGAGTTGGATTGGAGATCAGAGATGCTGACACAGATCAACAGAGAGCTGTTGAGTTCAGAGAATAGCGCCTCGCAGGAGCTGACCGGGATTTCCACGTTCTTTTCAACTTAGTCTTCCTACCAAAAGCAAGTTTTTATTGATGAACGACTTAAGATACCATAACTCGCTTAAGAAACGCAAAAAGTGTCACGAATTGATAGAAACGGGCCCGGAGAGAAACACACTCCTATATTCAACAGATAGATAAAGTTGTTATTTCTCAATATATTTGAACCTCGTGAGTTTGTTTTATTATTTTTATTTTACTTATGCTTGTGTGGTATCACCTTTACCCCGGATTCAGCTTGCACTATGGCCCGATGCCTGATTGATTTCGTCTACCTAAGATCAAAGTCACAACATAGGTAGGTTAGACTTGAGATCAAAGCAGTTACTTCGGTGACGAAGCGTTGGAGGCGAGCTGAGAACAACAAAGCTGGTATTGAACCGGAAACAACCAGATCGACCGGGACACAGGCTGGTGGCAGTGACAAGGAGTCAACCCCAAAACACTGGTGGAAGAAACCTTACGGCTTTGCGCCACAACTGGGAGTTGAACATGGGCT